TCATAATTTAACTCCGTTGGAGTAGCAAACAAATGGTTTTGAGTCCAAAATAAATAACATAATTAAATTTTATCTTCAAAATGGCATATATACTTGAAATGTCAATAAATGTTGCATTTTGTACGTGAAAAAAAGGTCAACAATTATATTACATGAATGTAATCGTAACCTAGAGAGTCGTAATAATATACACAACACTCGTATATTTACACTTGACATTTTAATGAGCATAGGCCAACTTTTTTTTAACCTTTATTATTTAGGCATTTTTATTTAACATATATCCTAGTAAAAATGATCTTTGGTAGTAGTTAAATAGTAAATTATTTAATTATAATAGATTTACGTCACATAATTATCATATTTTTATTTATTTTTTTTTGTGATTAATGATTAGTTTTAACAATAATAACATTATTAATGAATATAAATTTAATAAATTATTTATAACCTTATGTGGCACGAGCATAATATATGTAACATTTATTTTATTTATTTTTTATTTTATCGAAAAAATTATCAATGAACTCGAGGATTATAAATGTTATAACTGTTGTAAAATAGAAAATTTTAAATTTTTTTAATATTTATTATTTACTGTTAATGGATGGTATATACTATTATCATTTTTGATTATTTAAAAATTGAAAGGTTTTAATACTCTCTCCCAACGGTTGGAGACGATAGCCACATCATTCCTTTCAAAATTACCACTGCATGATACGATCAAATTTAGTTTTTTTTTTTCGTGAAAATACTTGGTATTATATAAATGCTATGTGAACAAATGTTCGAATAATAATTAATAACTGATTCAATATTACAGAATACCATTGGACAAGTAAAAAACAAATAAAAATGGATTTAAATACTATTTACTTATTAACAAGCAACATTTGATTAAGATTGTATACAAATATTTCATCATTTATACTTCATAGTTAAATGTAAAAATTAACTTATACATAGTGACGATAATTAATTTGGTGTAAATAAGGAATGATGAGGGAATTCGCTAGGGTTATTTCGGAAAATCAAGGTAAATTGCTGTTGCGAATTGGAACATGTAAATATATCTACTCTCTATATTTATTCCATTGCAGCGTTGCCAAATATCAAGTATCATTAATTATTATTAGGAAATGCCCCAAACCACACTCCTGCTAAAAAAGAGAACTGTATATACTGGTATTTCACTAGAAATCCGTCAGTTTTTGTATTTTACTAATTAATTACTCAGTGATCAAATGCAGACAAGTTCGAGATTTAATCATCCAACCAAGAGTAACATGTACAGATATTGAATGCAATCGTGTTTGTTCCTATTATCAGTCCTTTATTTGATATCAAACATGATTCAGCTGACTTCCGTGATTTCAGTATTAGACGCAAAAATAAAGCCGAATGCTATTTCAAATGTTCAGAGAATAGGATACATGCGATGGCGTAGTACGTAAAGTTCTCCACTGTTAAAAACGCCGCAAAACTCGGCGCATAATATTGGTAATTTAGTCGTAATATCCGTCATTCAAATATCTGTGATTCAATTAAAACTAACCATTCATTTGGCTATCATTTTATGCTTTTTTTTTAACTGATTTTGCAGATAAACGTGCAATTAAAATATATGTACTTTATTACTTTAATGTAAAAACTCTCACACTTTTGTAGTTTTATAATCTATATAATTTATTACATTATGATCTAATAGTTAATGTTGAAAATATCAGTTAATATATATGACAAAAGCCTCAACAAAAAAAAAAAAAAAAAAAACAATAAACATTTTCAGCACTCAATTATTATGAGTAATATCTAAAACACAATATAAAACAGTTACAGTATATAAAAAAATCGACGAAAACTACGTGAAAATGTGTAAAAAGTTGTGTACTTTATTTTAGTTATTTATTTTTATAAGGATACTCTTTACACCAGTAATATTTTTTATAAAATCAAATCGTTTTAATAAATCAAATTTTTTTGAAACTTTTATTTACATAAATCCTTGCTGGAGAATTTTCATCAGTTTTTTTTTTTTTATTACACGAGATTATAAACAAATTAGTGGTGTACTTATATACATTATAAGTATATACTGTAAAATAATTAGAAACGTTTAAGTATTACGAGATATATTATATTTATTTAAAATAATATTCTATGTATAACACGACATAGTCTAATAGTTTAATGAAAATTTAATTGCGTGCTTTATAACGTATATCCAAAGTAATTAAATATTTTTGAGGTAACTCAAAATTTCAATACAATTTAATAATTTTCAGAATATTAATATAATTATAATAATATGGCGATTCGATATTATGTTTTTTAAATCTATTTAACTGTATAACTTAAACTTCTAATATAAAAATATATGCTTATTACTCCTAGATATAAAACTACATTATTTAAATGTATTTCATTTTTTTCTTTTTTTTAATAACATACACCTTTAAACTTTTATTTTAAAAATGATATATCATTGGTTTTTATTTAAATATGATTTTTAATTATTTTATCAATGTCATATTATGATATCTTGATTTGGATTGATTTTTTTATTTATATGTTAAACTAGACCTCTGAAGGAAAATAGTAAAATTTTTATTTATGAATTCAAATTCTAAAGGTCAAACATTAGATTCACAAAATAAAAACCGTTTCATCAAAAAAAATAGTGTAGGTACCTAGTAAATGGCATTTGTGACACTATGTAAAAACGGTACCTAAATCTTTTCATTTGATATTATACATCAACTGCGTTTTGTAATAACTATACACAGGAAATGTCTTCAGTGAGGTATTTTATTGCATTCTTTACTAACATTATTCATATCGTGTGTATGGCTTGCAAATCTTGTATTTTTTTAAAAAATAAAAAATAAATAAGCTACTTATTATATCCCTAAACATATTAATATGCTATATGTATTATTTAATAAAGTTTCATAATAATATAACCATTTATAGTTATATATATTTTAAAATTATCATAAAATTATAAATATTCATAGTATACTGATATTTATAAAATATAATTTAAAGTTTATAGATATAAATGGTTTATAGGTCAAGAACTTGGAAATATAAACAGATAACGAACGTTAAAAAATTAATTCAATCAAAAAATGTTTTTCTGTAACTTTTAATAAATAAAAAAAATAATGCTCTAAAAATGAACTGTATAATACTATAAAAGCATCTTAAAATATTAATAGTTTTTTTTTAATTTAATGTCTTAGTCTTACTTACTATAATATATTTAAATTTATAAATACGGTGGACTATGTCCAGTCAGTCCAAGAAAAATATATGAAATTAAACTTTTTTATTTGAACTTGTCATGTTATCATATTCTTGTTGTTATTATTATAAAATAATAGTTTTAGCTTTTATTTAGGCATAATATACTCTTTTTTTTTAATAGGAATAGTTAGATAATTTTGATTATGTTTTTCAGTGATCATTTTTTCCTAACAAGACAGTTATTGGAATATTCAACTATTTATTGGTTATGACCAATTATACTTTTGTATACACCAATACGTATTACAAATATACATATTCATGAATTGTAAAATAAACGTAAAATTCTGCAGGATTTAGTGCTCCCCTAACGGTTTGTTTAATTACATGCTAGCTATAATTCAAATAACAGTTCGTATAGCCACCCTATGTGACTGCTGTATATATTCCGTATTGAAATAGTTTTTTAATTGAAAATAACAAAATAAAATAACGACCCTAATATATTAAAATATTCATTATTGTTTTCGTTTATGGTGCATACATATTATTCTCATATAAATATATATATATATGAATATATGTATTACAAACAATAATTCCAAAAGTCTTAAAAACAATTTATTATTATAATGTAAGTGTTTCATACTCCATTTTCAGAATGAAAAAATTCTTTGAATTATTGATCATATTTCAATTAAATATATAGATCATTCATTTATATACTTAATGGCTTAATGTTGAGCTATATAATTCATGGATGTACATACCTTTTAGATGAAAACTGAAAATAATTAAATATTTATATCATACATTTTCATTTTAATAGTTAAACAAACTTATAAAACTATTACATTATAATTATTGGTATAATATTAAAACCAAAAACCAAAATAATGTTATTCATTAGTTACATTATGCAATTATACTTTATTATAAATACGAATGTATTATATTAAGAGTATTAAACGTTATTTGTATAAGTTATAAGCAAATTAGATCTACATTATTGTGACTATTAATCTTGCTGTCTAAACCCAAATCACAAAATATTGGTATTTAAAATTTTAATAGTTAAACATATTTTTAGATAACTCAGCGATAATCTGACTAACATTAACTTTAGAGGAAAAGTAAATCATCTTCGGAAAAAACGATCTTAGGTTGTTTCTGACAGATTTAGTTGTATTTAATGCTATATTGTACCTACTTCTAAACTTATTATTGTATAATTTAATATAAGTAGGAACACATATATAGTATACATGTTTATCGATTTGAGTATCTTTACTTTTAAACGATGGTATCCTTATTACTCGGTTCTTCTACAACTTAAAATATAGAATAAAATAAATTGAAAAAGATTAGATAATATCCCGAAGAAACCATTAATGTTTAACATAAAATAGCAATAGTAATAACAATATCTTATTAGTTTGTAGAAAAAAAAAAATAAAACTTTATTACTTTCGTGCTTATGCTATTTGAAGAACATTTCATTACTTTTGTAATAATATAGTGTCTTTAATATAACGTCTAAAAGTTTACCTACTAATTAATATTAGTTAAATATTCATAGACACTACTTTTGAAATATATATTATAAAAATTAAAACAATAATAATTATATTGAGTGTTATTGTTGTTATATTATTTTATTTTATACAGTTACTATTTGTAATGTAAACGTTTGGTAATATTTATAACTTTTAAATAACTACAATAACCTTGAGCAAAAAAAAGGATATGGGTTAGTGATCATGGCCAAACACCAATTTCGGGGCCTAGACTTCTGATCCAGGTATTTCATCGATATGGAAACGAATCCTGGATACGGTAGCTCTTCTTGCTGATTGTGTTCCGCTCCCAAACAGTCATCGTCGTCATCCCTATCGTCTTCGGAGTCCTCACTGTCCTCTTCTTCCTCTTCCTCATCCTCGTAAGCCTCGACGTCCAGGCTGCCAGGATATCCCGTCGTTACTACGGCCAAATCCGAGTCCGAGCTGCTTCTGGCCAACAAACCATGGTTGCAACTAGTTCGTCGGTAAACACATTCCTCCACACCACCGGCTGTTGAACGCCTCATCGCATATATATTTCAATAGAAGTACCTGAAAGAAAAAAATATTTACTTTATTATTTTTAGAAATTTCATGTGAGAGGTTCGTTGTATAATATTTATAGAATATACAGTAAATAATATTCAAAAGAAATTGGAAGTAAATTTTTCTTTTTATTCTTCAATAATCAATAAATTTATTTTTTAATAAATAAAAAACAAAATCACATCACATTTATTTAATTGTACATTCTTTTAAACAATTTTATTAAACTTCATACATCGTGTTTATAATGCATGCATGGCTTCACAGTGCAATCTTAATACCTCAATAATACCTAGCATATAAATCGAATTTTAACTACACCCAAATTAATTAAAATCTTTTAATTTATAAATAGAAAATTCTGAGAGAACAACGAGAATAATTTGATACTGTATTTTCATATTCCAACGAATCGATTAAAACACAATTCAAAATTCAAATGACCTATTATTTAACAATAAAGGTATACATTTCTAAGCTAATTTAATTACTTAGCTTGATCTTTTTATATATTACAAACGAAAGATTCCAATAAATGGCACATTGCACTTTATTTTTACAACAAACAAACATGCAAATGTATTTTAGAGTCCAGCATAAATTGAATTATAATATTGTCTCAAAGACAATCGGTTACGTTAAGGATAGAAAGTTTTTTTCTAAAAACTTTACCATCACATTACAAAGGATAATAAACATTCGATATTTTTATAACTGAAAAATTGGATTTATTTGAAATTCCAATTCAGAGTTCAGAGTTCTGTAAAAGTTTATGAACAAATGAAAAATAAATTATTTTGTTTTTTGATCTGAAACTAAGAAAGCTATATTGTAGACCTTAATCCTGCAAATTTAAGATTCTAGTATCATAAAAAATAAATAAATTTAAAAAAAAAAAACAGAAAATAATGAATTTGCAATACTCTGATATAAATGTATAATGTATTAATTCATAAAAAATTAAGAATTTCAAAATGGTGTACACGGCTATATTATTCGTATATGAATATATTAAAATCTTACTCTTAACAATAATCTATTTATATTTATTTTGAGCACAATTATATAGACATATTTGCTATTAAAAAAAAAAGAGTGTTTGAAAAAATGAAAGAAGACTTAAATGCTGTTAAATATTAAAATTATGCAAACGTTTGTTAAGATTTAACTTGACAACTTGAAATATAACATGATCATTATTTTATCGTGGCAGTTTTCAGCTTTTGAAATAAATTACGTATTATTTGGTTATGCATATAACCAAAAAAAAAAAATAATAATAATAATAATAATACGTCACTTCTTATCACGTGTAATTAAATTAATAATTGATAAATAATTGTTGTAAAAAAATGATTCTTACACAATATGTTGCAGTAATAAATTCGTTAGTGTAAGTTTTTATGATTTTTTAAATACTTTTAAAATACAACATGCATATGCATACAAACCTAATTTATAATAGTATAATAAATTGTTTTTTACTATTATTATCAATCAATATTTTTTAATTTAGGTATCAAATACTATAAAAAATAAAATAATAGCTATATTTTGTTTAATTTTTAAACCATTACTCATTATTATCATTTCAGATTTTTATAATTCACTCTGTCATATTTAGATGCTGCGCTGACCGATGAAAGTATTGATTTTACAATGATATGTCTGTTTGATTTTTAAGTGTGGGTGTATATTGTATATATAATATATATATATATATATATGTGTGTGTGTGTGTGTGTGTGTGTGTGTAAATACAAACATTTTCAAGAAAAAAAAAACATTTATATATATTTTCTAATATAAAGTGAATTTTAAAAGTATTTTTGAAAACTAAAATTAAAAATTTCCAACATTTTTATTTAATAATTGGGAAAGCAAGATTATTACTCAGAACCAGTTTTGTATTTGTTTATATCATTATTTCTGTACATGGAATTATATTTAAAATAATAAATTGACTTTTTTGAGCTATTTATAAGCACTTTCAATGTTAATTTTTTTTTTAGTTTTTTCTTATAAATTATAAATTTGAATACAAAATATTCTTAGTTAAAATCCTTAAAAATGCAATATAAAGTTTTTTATAATAATTTAAAAATTTAAAATATACGTAAGTTCAATTGAAAAAAAATCATCAACATTTTAAAAAGTTTTGAAATATGTTGTAATAATAAATGTATATAATATTCAATTATTATAACAAATTTTATATAAGCTTCTTTTAAACTCAATAAATCTATAAAAATTTATGGTCACATTTTTTTATATAGATACTTTAATAAGGAATAAACATTTTATAGTTATTTTGTTGTTATTCTTCGTGGGAATTTTAAACTTTTTGTGTACTGTTAAATTTTAACGATATGGCATTTATCAGATAAATTTTATACTTTGTTCATTTATGCTACGAACCTATTAATATCGTTCTATGGTAAGAAGTTATTGACTCAAAAAATAATGACAGTAATAAATAATTTATGCATTTTTCATCAAAAAATAATTTTACCTACCTACCGTATGAAAAATAATGAAATAATTAACCAATATATAATCAATACAAATATATCATAAAACGAATAACAACTCAGTAATATCGTTCATCTTGTCTCAGAATGGTTTTTCGTATGCAATAGTTTAACATTAAATTCAAGTATAACACATAATAAACTATAGTGACTCAATAACAAGATACTCGTATCTTCATTCTTTACCGAACAATTAAGTGATTACTTCAAACTCTCCCTTTCTTTATTTTTATATATTTTGATAAAATAAAATATAACTTGAAATGTATCCAGTAATAGCTTATTAAATTTTAGTTTTTAATGGAATATGATAAGGTTTTAACCACTGTTTGTAAGTAACCTATAATAGTAATAAATAGTAATACTACAGTAGTATACTATTTTATTTGTAGTGATTAATATAGCATCGCTATAATATACATATGTTATACGATGAAATTGTAAATAAATGTACACATTTTAAAATATTTTTTACCCAATAAAAATCTAAACTAATAATATAATATCTTATTATAACGTATCAATTTTTCAATACTAAATGTATATGTTGTTTTGTAAATAATGCACATAACTTGAATAACAAGTACTCTTGGCATAGTTATCATTAGAACATACAAAATATAACAGTATATATTAATATTTCCTACCTAAAAATATTTCCAATACATAAGACTTTGGCGGAGTTTCTTCAAGAGAAATAATTTTAAAAGAATTATACTTTATAGTTATTTTAAAAAACGTGATTATAAATTAATATTAATTTAAAAATTATTCAATTAAACAACCGACATTTTATAGTTAGCCTATTTAAATCAAAAACATATTTTTTCAAAAATCATAATTTTTTATTATTATGAAATTATATTATAAAAAATCTTTAAGCAATAAAAAAATTTCGATGTCTTTCTTGACCAATTAAGCATCAAATGGAATTGTTAATTGTTGATTATGAATTTAAAAACTTGAAAACTTTTCGAAAATTCTAAATGTGATTAAGTAATGGAAAATATATGACGTGTTTTGTTTAAAGACAACGCCATAAACAGATAAAATCGGCTTGAAATATTATAATTGTCGAGGACGTAATAACAATGTTTTCATATTAATGGATAAGTTTTCAAATAATAAGTATACTAAACAACTCAATATATAAACTATCTGGTGAATGCCAAAGTCCTACCGTTTACACGGAGTCGCTTGCAAATCGGTGTAATATTAAATTGGCCTTTATGGTTTATACTTATTCACGTCAAAGTTCATTTGTTTGAAATAACAAAATAATCGAGAATGGAGTTTAGTTTATTTATTATGGTTTTGTCTAAATATCTGATATACATTGATCATTAAATCAAATTAATTACATTATAAATCACAAACTATACATAACTGTTTATTTAAATTTTAATGTTTCCATTCAATAGGATAACATAACGACACTCTCTGTTTTACTTAATCCAAATCACTTAATATTCAACTGATGTAACTACATGCTACCTATACATACGTGAAAATACACATCTGCTATAAACCACTTATTCTCGGTCCATAATTAAATCATAATATAAATTGTTTAGATTTATCAAAGAGTATAATTATGAATTGTCACGCATTAAGTAATTATTATAATATCTAGGTGATCTACAACGATCTACTATGTCAAAATAATTTGGATAAACACCACACAAAAATAAATAAGTACTCACTACTTATGTAAATAGAAAATAAGTTTATGCGTTTTTTATGATACTCTGTTCACTTTTTGAGTTCTTTAAACTATACGACGTAAAATTAGAATAATAAGTTGTAAAAAATATCTTTGAAGATATCCCGAATTTTTAAAATCATTTCAGACCCATAGATTCAATGAAATAAATAATAGGTTAGAATGAATCATTTTGTAATAATTATTACTTAATATAATAATATCGAATGATTTGAATAATAAAATAATATATAGTTATAAACATAAATTACCATATATGTGAGAGAGAACGTGGAACTTAATTTTTGGATTTTTATCAATTTACAACAATAAATATTGCATTTCGTGTTAAATTAATTTAGTATTGAAATTCTATCAAACGATATATTCGTTTAATGTGTCATTACCACTAATACGAGAAAACATGAGAAATTCTGGTGATTATCGAACACGCATTAATGTCTAAACATGGTCTAATGCATTCTAATATTATACATATGTGTGTGTTGAATAAACCATTAATACGATAATATATATAAAGTGATACAGTCGTATTAACATTATATGGTATATTTAAATTGAAACATTTTGAACAGAATTATTAATTTTCTATTTTATACAATATACGCGTGATACTTGACTCCTTGAATATCCGATGAACGATTACATCATGAAACTGATATTGATAATAAAGTCTATTGTATGCAATAAATTATTATTATTTAACATTAAAAGTAATAATTTTTCTCTACATAAATATTTTTAATAAAGCTCACAAGTGATCGAGTGTTCTTATCGTCGTATGATCTATATTCGAGTTCTGAAAAAAAGATGTCAAGAGTGATACATAAGTGACACATAAGGATGACATAGTCAGTTTTCCAACAAGACAATAATAAGTACCTCGTGTATCGTTTTTATAAAGCACTTGACCTGTTACTATTATTATTGCCCTCATTCAATTAAATTAACATAAATAAATTATTTAAATTAATATTAAATTTTTCATAATTCCTGATATTATTCTATAATGTGATTAAAATCCAAAAAACTAATAAAATCTCATTTTATAATAAATCGCATTAACCTATTCTATAACTTATAACAATCAGCAAATTGATTTGTAAAATAACATTTTTATTAAACATTCAATTATTATAATGTAATTTTTGCTTAAAATTTTAAATAATTTTAATGTTTACAGTACTGATATTAAATGTACTTTTTTAAGCAAACAGATAAATATTTTTTAGGAATACCATTCTATATAAAAAAGAAAAATAATAACAATGAAAACAATGACATAACAAAAGAAAATATTAAACACTAGAAAAATGTATTTTATTTTTTTAGTTACGTTTTGATTACATCCGTAAAATAATTTAAATGAGAATATTTCAAGTTTAAATTACAATTAACGAATGAGTATTAATAAGTAGTAAAAAGCTTTTACATTTTAATTAAATAAACATTAATATTTATGAGTGTTATTTTTATATTAATAGAAATTGAAATTAATAGCTACCAGTGTCAAATACATTCAGTATATAATTTGTACTAAGAAATCATAATATTATTTCAACGCTATTTGTCTTGATACTATATAATTATTATTATTATTATTAAGTATTTTTTATTTTAAATATAACTAAAATAATAAATGAAAATGTAAAACTGATATTAGAAACATAATTTTAAATTAATATTATTTATTATACAGATGAAATTCAAACTAATGTTTAATGAAAATATTTGTCATTTCCATTCAACAATTATCGCTATGGGTCGGTTAGTGTGGATTGTAAATAATGCAACATTTGACTCAAATGTTTGAATTGAAATACTTTATAACAATGTTTAATATTACAATAAGCCAGTAACTCGATTCTAGAAGACGTCTAGAATATATTTTAAGTTTGACTGTGAAATTCATTATTATTTTATTATACAGACTGAATATAAATTTCGTTTGTTTTTAAAACAATGATTTCCGATCGCCACATATATTTTTTGTATAATTAATTAATTTATTACTTAAATCACTTCTTAACAAAAATTGTACTATTCAAATAAGAATTTCATAATATTATATTATATTCAATGTACACAGATAGGTATATAGCAGTAAAAGTGGAGAACTACTTACAATAATAAGTATATACATTAAGATAAAAAAATGTTTGCTTTATGATTTGTCTACGTAGAATAAGAATTAATTTAAAATAAGAGGATGGAGTCAAAATCATTAAAATAAACCAATATACCTAATAGTATAACAATAAAAATATAGGTAAACGAGTTCTTGTATATTATATATTATTTATAATAAACAAAATTGCATTTGATGCATGCTAGATGATAGTAACATGAATTTAGTAAATTTATAATTTTCGTATGATATAAAACTCAGAACAAAAATATACGAATATAACCAATAAACACTTAACATTATAATAGTCATGTATAAATATATAAACATATGATAATAAAATAAAAAATTCAATAAATTTCGATATTTATTCTACAACTACGTGTTAGATGTAATTGAATAGTAAAATTTCAGAATTGCATTAAAATTGCATAAAAAAAAAATCCGTATCTCTCAAAGGTTTCTATCCAAATTGTACAATTTTACTTTTTTAAATTTATGTTGAAAATTTTATATAAGATTCACTTTAACTTTTTTTTTTACAGTAGTTTAAAAATACCATAAATCCATTGTCTTATTATTATTATTTTTTTTCTTTGATAAATGTTTTAATCTTTTTAAGTTTTTGAATACACCGAACTTCATGTAAATTGTCTTTGTACCTATACAACGGTCTAAAATATTGTATGAATTCTCCGTTAAATATAGGAGAAATTATAGAAAAAATATTTAAATCGAGTACGATCACGCCTACTGTAGATTAGCATCGAACATAAATTATTTTTCTGAGTTTTTTTATAATCTAGAAATATAATTAGCTAATCAAGTTGTACAAAAATTTAATATGTTTTGGCTATTGATTTGTTTTTTTTTAATTTAGTCTAATCATACACACTACCAACATCAAAAGGCTATTTTTCCTATTAGATTATACCGACGTGTACAATATAAACTGCATCTATAGCACAATTATTTCTGATTACTAAATACTAACACAATTTATTTTATCAAAGTATTGGATTTTGTGATCTAATTCAAACAATTGTTATCTTGCTATTTTCTCATAGTTACAATTATACATTCATATTTATTTGTTCTCTTTTAAAATTATACAATTATCATTGTTAAACTATAATATTTAAAAAAAACCGATGCTGTTGAGAAAGAGGACGAATTGGTCACACACGTTCGAATTACACGTTAAATATCTCATTAAAAAATAAATGAAGATACAGTTTTAAGCATTTTATATCAATAAATTTTAAACAAAATATTAAACAATGGTTATGTATGTGCGTATGTAAATGTTTATCTTGAAATGAAACAATTATGGAAGAAAAATATAAACAGAATATTTTTTTGTATCTATCAGATTAAAATATTTCTATGCTTTTATAAAATTGATTTTTTTAAATTTAATTTATATACCAAACATTTCACAATTCAAGTTTACAATAAGATCATACTTCAGTGTCTTAATAAAGTAAAACTTAGCAACTTATACGTTCAGAATAATTAATTTTACTCTTTAATTTTTTTTTATTATTATTATTAAAATAAACATAATTACTATAAAATCAAAAGGCAAGAATATTAAAATTTCTAGGGGCTTAACATTTTGTTAATAATATAAAAATATGGTATAAATTATCAGTTAGAATAATGTATTTTAACATTTTATACTAACTACCAATTCCGGCCTGTAGAAATTTGAAAAGATCATTAAACTTTAATAGATTTATTATAAAAAAAAATAAGCCACTTTTTAAACAGCTCAAACATCAAACTATGGCCAATAATTGATCCATACAATTTTAATGAGCCGTTAAATTCAACACATTTTTGTATAGAAGCCTTTGAAATTAAAATTGTATAACATCATATTTTAATACATTGTTTAAAATTAAAATATAACTCTCATAAATTATTTAGATTTCACTATTTTGTAAACAATAAGGAGTTACTGTACATAATATTAGGTATTTAAATACTTTGAAAAGCATTATACAATTCATTTTCGTTTATCATCTATACAAGACAGCCTAAAGCCTCAAAACTTTTATTTTAATCTTAAGAAGTTCATCGTGGATTTAGTATTTTATATATCAAAAACAAAATTATTGCGAATGTACCTGTAGATAGTAAAAAAAAATTAATGGATTTTATGAAACAATAAATTAATCCCTGTTGATTTATGAACATACATTTTTGTATAATTATTTTTATTTTTAAAACGCCATGCTATAGTAGCACAATATCCAACAAGTGCTGTTAGTTCAAAGAAAATGTGACTCGACGTGTTAACGCAAAAAGTAAAATAAATAATAATGTTAAAAAATGTTTTTCGCAATACATATTTTATTACATTTTCCGAAAGTGCAATATTTACATACGTGCCTATAAATTATAAAAAATTTTTAAAGACTTCTAATGGTTAAAATTAAGAATACAACATTTTAAAACAAATTAATAATTTTATGAATATTATCCATCCTTTAGTGATTACCTAAATTATTAATGATGTACATTTTTTTTTTTTTTTTTTTTTTTTTTGGTACCTATATTCATTAGCGGTACTATGGTCTCTGCGAAGTAATATTAAATTTAAATGATGTATCAAATATGAGACGCATTTTTACTATTTACTCTCCACTATAAAATAACATGTACGTATTATACCGTATTTAGTGAAAATTCTGAAAATAAAAAAATTAATATTTAGAACATAAAAATAAGCATAATATTATGTATATTATACAACTTATTGGTAACATGACATAGAGAAAATCCAGTAAAGAATATTCACTCTTCAAGTTTAAAAAAATAAAAAACAATTTATCACAACGATCAATATAACAAAACAATAAAAAATTAGCTTGATCCGTAAGGTTTTCAATTTCATCGAATTCAATATGATATTTGATAAAAATAATGGTTGCAGCCGTATGATTAATCGAATCGTTGAATACACAGCGAAAGAGATTACCAACGTTAAGATCGCGCTGTATTATGTATTATTTAGAATTGCACCACTGCATGCGCGACTATTAAATTGTGAAAATGTACTCACTCAAAATGCTGTTGTCTCCGCGTAATCCATTCACGAGAACAATATCGACGAGAAACACGCGGCGAACTGTTAATATCGCGACGAGCGTGAACGATTATATTATCAAAAGCGAACACGGTGATATTAGGTACAATAATAATTATGCGAGATTAAAATATACGATCGGAAATAAAAAAAAATTAAAATTAAAAAAAAAAAAACAGTATTATACTACGTATATATTTCCGCGACTCGAGGAAGAGATGTGCGGGTTTGAGATTGCGGTCGGCGGGTGGTCGGGGGAAGAGGACGAGAATTTGAATGCGAGACGACGAAACCGTCGTTCGTCGACGACACGATGGGAGGGTACGGG